ACAGTAACTTGTTGAAACCAAAGGAATCTCTCCATTAGGGGAGCAGGACTAGTGGCTAACTCGTTACTGTTTGTCAAAGGTATATCATTTGTTGCGTGTTGTTCCTGGTGGTGGTGTAACTGCGTCGTGGTTGAAGTCGCTCACAAAGGTGATTCGTGAGTATCTGGTGTCTTTTCGCCCCGGTGTTGCCTGGTCTACTTTGTGTCTTCCTCGAAAATTTGGTGGTGTTGGTCTCGTGGATATAGCAGATCAAAGCTTAGCTTTGCATCTTGTCTATTTGCAACGTTTGTTGCGTCCACCCTCTCCCAGTGATTTTGTCTCCTCTTGGTTGGTGTATGCCTTTTCAAGTTTACACTGGTCATAAGTCCATCTTGCCGTGGTTTTGTTTCCCTGGTCTTTACCAGTCTCGTGTGTCTTCTGTGCCTGCTCTAACACATCTTGGAAAGCTTTTGTTGAGATTGCCAAAGTTAGTTCCTTCCTCTGGTTGGTCTGCTAGGTGGTTTCTTGATCTTCCCTTGTGTTCTGTACTCAGTACTGTGCCTTCTGTTCGTCCTCCTCGTGATCCATCATCTCTTGATCCTCGTTTCTTGGTGTCGGATGTCTCTTTCTGGCAACCTGATCTAGGTATAGTTGATGGTGTCACCTCTCATCTTGCTTGGTCATCTCGTGTTTTGCGCCCTGTTTTTCTTGCCTTGAACCGTGATCGTGGTCCTGTCTCTCTGGTATTCCCGCCTGTCATGGATAGTAAGATAGTCTTGTCTCAAGCAGACTATTTTACTATGCCCCGTTCTGATGGTGCTACCTCTTGGATGCCAGATTGTACTCATTGGACTGTCTCCAACTCGTCTCGTTCTGCTGCTCCGGTTGCTCGTCTCTCTCTTGGTGCTTTGCGAAGGTATTGGCACCCTGCAAAGGGTACCATTACCTCTCGTATGGGTCCTCCCTTGAAGTTGCCTGCCCATTTGTTGCTGTCTCCTGCTTCGTGGCGTCTTTTCTGGTCCCTGGAAATGCCTGCAAAGGCTTTCACACCTTGGTGGCGATTGCTACATGACCGTGTCCCGCACCGTTCGTGGTGCCATAGGATTATGCCTTCCAAAGTTCTGTCTCCTGCTTGTGCTCTTTGCGGTTTCTCTACAGAGGACCTTTACCATTTTGTGGTGGGTTGCCATGTCAAGTCATTTTTCTGGCAGGATGTAGTCTCTTTGTTGTCACTTCAAGAGCTACTCCCCTCTGCTTCTTCTATTTGGTTGGCGCTGACTACCTTTTGTAGTGGTTCAGATTTGTTGGTGATCGATGAGGATGTTTTGATTGCTCTTGGTGCTGCTTACAGTACACTTTGGAAGTATCATTGGCGATGCGTCATAGACGAGGAGCCTTGGATAGCTTCTGCTGCTATCAACATGGTCCGTCAAGACCATGGTACACTCTTTTCTTCTCTTTCTCTGGCAAGTGTTCAAGCTGGCACCTTGGCCTTGCCTGTAAACTCTGTATAGATTATAAATTTAAAGCTAATAAAGATACACTTTAATACAAAAAAAAAAAAAAAAAAGCGACACAGTAACTTGTTGAAATGGCACCCTGCAAAGGGTACCATTACCTCCCCACTACCGCGAAAAACTTAGCGGAAATGCTCTAAAATAGGTGTTTTTGTTGGTGCTTTTTTACAGCCAAAGTATTTGGAAAAGTTGGTGCTTTCGGTACAGGCTTCAAAATTAAAACACTCTAAATTTGGCGTCAATGCGCTAAGTGGTACAAATTGAAAATATTCCATCAACATTGCGGCACAAAAGTAAACCTTATTGAAAATAGAAACTGTTGTATAGCCGATGATATTTACTGCATTACACAACAATTGAATCCTATACCGTGCAACGTTGTTCAGCTAAAAGACCAATAGTTGCTCATGGGGATTATGACATTGGAATGATATAATTGGTGGATCTTTATTAATAGAATGCGCTATATATTACTCCTGGGGCAATTGTTGGGGCAGCAATCGTGCGATTATTGGATAGAATGATATGGAAAGCAGGATTATTGATGGATAAAATTGTCTTTTATTGATGGAAATATAGCAGAATATAGAATCATTGCTTTCAAATACATGCAGCGTGCTATACACATGGTAATGGGACGTTGCTCCGTTGGGTAGGCAATTCCTTTGACTCGTTATACAGCAGTTAGCTAGCTACCCTGTCATTCAAGAGCCTCCTGATTGTATTAAAGATAAAGCGGCAATAGCTATACATGTTTACCCATTACGAAGAGTTCCATACAAGAGTAACAGAGATGAGGATTGACATGGAGATAAGCAGCCAGATTAGAGTTGATTGGCACCCACCACACGAGTATCTAAATGCAAAACTAATGTTAGTCATAGAGTTCAATCCTGAAAAATATTTAACAGCATACCACATTTGCCACGTACCATCATCGTAAACTTGACACACAAGCAGAACAACAACAACAGGATAGGAGGCGGTCATGAGAAACTATAAGAGATGATAGGAAATGTGAGCAACGATGGTACGGCACGATGTAAGATGCACAGAGTGATTGACAACTTACAAATATACTTTAGTATATGCTGATTAGCGAAGATCTTCCAGCAGCAGCACCAGGGGAGGATGTTCTATTCTATATTCAATGTTTAGTCACTGCCATACTTCTCAGATGATGCTCCTTACCTACCGTTATTCCCACAGAGATGATTAAAACGGTGTGATACTAATAGGCAACAGCCACATTCGAGGAGAACCTACTGCGTTATCATCTGGCGTATGCTGCCGATAATATGTTTTTAATAAGAAAGCCACCAACAGAAACATTTGGTCAGATAAATTACTTACTTTGTACCAGAAAATGAATTGAAATTACGGAAAGAAAAGAAAAGAAAAAGGATTTAAAATAATTCACGAAAAAAATACTCTTTTTATAGACAAAATTTAAAGTTTTATTACAGCATGTCATAACCATCAGAGTAGTAATAGTCATCAGCATCATCATTCAAAGCCCACTCCCCCCAAACATACGTTATCCAACGATCCGAAAGCTTTTGAAAGTCATCAACGTGTTCCCCCTCCATTGTAAAGCACATTGCTACTATAAGAGAAGAATAGACACACTGCATCATTGTATAACTGACTTTGCTTTTTCCTTCCAGACTGGCATCATTCAAACGCTTCGTTAGCACTCTTTCATAATCACAAGCTCGTGCGTAGTACATGAAATGATAGCTTGGATTATTTTCAATATCAAGCGCAGGTCCAAAGCGATACTTGTAATATTCAACGAAGCGCTTTACAGTGCTACAGACAGATGTGCAATGATAATTAATACTTTATTCAAAGAACTCGCATGACGTATTATTTCTATTCTAACCTCATCAAATCTGCAGAGGAACAGGAACTCCAGCTATAGTCTAGGTAAGATTCACTAGGGTCTCTTGGAACCATTGGGGTTGCGTGTACGCTTCTTGATGCAGCTAAGCGACCAGCAGTAGAGTTGCGGAAATCTTCATTATCATCGTCATCTTCACCCTCATCTGGGCCATCATCACCACCAGGACAATTGCCAGTAGCTCCATTACCAGAAAGAGAAAAAGAAGACGAGAAACCATCAAAAGAGCTACTGTCAGAAGTACTACCAATAGCTCTTGTTGCAGAACGGCGGCGAGTCTTGTGGACAGAAGCCAACAGAGCAGTGGCACCCCAGCTGTTGGTACAACGATGCAAGATGAACCCATACTTCTGCGCATGTGCTTCAAAATACAGAGCATGCTTCAGGATTAATGCCTCATCCACACGACTCCAAGCTGGAACGACCTTGTCATCTACGGCCAAATCGTTGACATAATAGTATTCATCAAGAAGACGTTGGTGATAAACTAGACACATCTTGCGAAGGGCTTTGTATTGAGCAACGACAATCGGATGATTGAAAGCGTAACCCCTTTCATTGACGTCCCCACTTGACTTCATACTAAAGTTAATGAGGCCAAGCAAACGAGTTCTGGCATCAGGGTAAATGGCATTTCCTTGGGAGTTAACCTTGCCAGAGTTGATCCAGTATTCCAAAATCTCAGGGACAACTGGATTTATATCGCGAGGGCCACGCAAATTAGGGTTTCCTACAGGAGCAGGAGCCAAGTTACGCGCTAAAATAAATAACAATGTCAATGTCTATTTCAATTCAATGCACATCAGTGTTTACCTGTAGCAATCACTCTTCCGACATCAGTTTTATTGCCAAAAACACCATCATTCGTGGGTTGAACGGGAGGAAAGGTAGGAGACAACTGCTTGATGAGTTCCAATAAAAGATCACGATTAAGCTTAGACTCTTCCTTGAGTTCACCAACAAAAGCCTTGAGCTCCAGCATCTCTGTCTTGATAGCATCGAGGGGAGAAGCTTGGGTGCGAATGGTTCTGTAGTTATTGTCCATTTTAGTGCAAAAATAATAAATTTAACTTATAAATAATAGTTGATACTTTCCTGAAAACCAAGACACATGTTGCCCTTTTATACGTTCCATCCTGCTCTTGAATTCTATCTTTGCCATTCCAAGTGTCTTAATGACTCACTACTTGTCTTTATTACTTGGACTTGATAGAGTCTTCATGAGTCATTAAGTCAGTTCAAAGTGAGCACCCTCTGTAATAACGCGACTGTAAGTTCGTGTAATGTCAACTGTCAATCATCTTTAAACTCACAGTAGCAAAACATCCAAACATTGAGACACAACCGACACCTTTGTGCAACTTGAAGAGTCAAAAATCACTATTAGTCATAGGTGCTACTATGTACCACAGAGACGATCAAACTACTATTTAAGCTTCACTACACATCAATTTGGTCTTGTTGTCATTCATTTATACATCACCTTATCCTCTCAAAATGCCTGCACGACGAGTTTCAGGAAACTGCGAAAAGTGCCACATGCCTTACAATTCTGCTAGAGCATTGAGGACCCACTATGCAAACTCGACTTTTTGCGAGCCCAAGAAAGCAAGAACAGAAGACACTCCCTTATCGAATAGTCAAGAACGATCCCAGGCAAGCATGCATTCACAAGACGATACTCCAACGGCTACCACAAGTAATCAAGGAAATCAGTCATTACAGCAGCATGCTGCAGAGCAAAGAATAGAACGTGAGTTGTGTGAACTATAAGCAATGCATGACGTACCGTTCTAACTCCCATCTAAGTGCCATCAATTGAGTCCTTTTCATACTACAGTAGCTTCACTCTTGAACAAAAGGAAGGCCTTCGACATGTATATGATCTTGACACCCTCTCTTACGCCACTGATTTTAATGAAAGTGAATTGCTTTCATTGAAGCTCCGTGACATATTCGACAAGTATCCAGCATCGAGAGAAATGAGTCGTGAAAGTATATACTTTACAAATACAATCATTAAGAATATAGCAGAGGCAGGAGGTGGCACTGAAAGAGGTAAGCATATGAATACCACTATGCATTGTATCTTCAAACGCACTCACCATATTGACATCTCCCTTTAATGCACAAAGGCATTGTATTTCCAAAGCTGATTCAGTTCGATACTCTAGAGGCGCGCATGAGAAAGAAGACTGGCGTACAAGCATTCATCTACAAGGTCTGTCCTCAAGGCTGCAAAGTTTATCCCAAGAACGATACATCAGTCCAAGGAGTGTGCAATCACTGTGCAACTCCCAAAAGCGAAGCACAAAATATGAAGGTCTTGAGCATCGGTGATCAGCTAGCAAGAGTCTTGAGTGACAAGTCCAAACGAGGTGAGCTCATGTCGTATCGACGTAACTACCAACATGATCCACATTTTTACCGAGACTACTTTGACGGTCAAGAGTACATTAACTTTCAACAAAGACGGAAAAGACATGGCACCAACGTAGATGAGGAACCTATTCTGCTTGCCTTGTATGTCGACGGCTTCAAACCCCAAAGCAACTCTTTTGCTGGCGATACCTTAACGCTATTCCACGTTGTAATTTTGTCAGCCCCTCCACACCTCAGGTGAGTTATCTCTATTTGTATGGGTATAATATCCAATTAGTACCGGATTCTAACCACCAACGATATTGCATTTATGTCTACCAACCCACAGATACTTGGATGACTGGACTGTTCAGACAATGATTGCACCCGGCAAGAAGGCTCCAGTGGATCTTGAAAGCTACTTGGCTATTTTTGTGGACGAAATTCGTGATCTTAGTGAACATGGCATGCTGGTTCGAGTGAATGGTGGTGAAGTTGCCCGAGTAAGCGTTCATTTGGCAATGGCGACAGGCGATCTTGTAGAAGTATCACATTTGATGTTGCATGGAGGAGTCTCCAGTCAGTTTGGCTGTATGAAGTGCCTCATAGACACACAAGGAGGCCAATGCTTTACTCGCACAATCAGAAATTTCCAATACAGAACTCTCGAACAACTGAAAGCACCACTGCCTGTTGGCGTAAAACATGTGTTTGTAAGTGAAGCGATTTCATTAAACAATCATGTATAGTTCTTGTACCAACCATCATCTCTTCTATAGAACATCAAAGGACCATCCATATTTACCACTCTCAAGTCTTTTCCTGCCAACCCATCGTTCTACGGTCTCGACACGCTTCACCTACTGAGCATTGGATTAGCTAAGCATTTGTACGAGCTCTTGTCTTCTCCATTGCATCCATCCAAGTTTGATAACCGATACAAGCCCTCTATCGAAGAGCTGAAAGAAGCAAAGCTTGATAAAGCAAGTGCCTGGCCTTACACCTTTGATTTAGATCCCAAAGTTCTGGCAAAGATCGGTCAGTATGTGGCTCAGTCAAAGAAGACCATTCCAACTACCTTCAATGCACCATTCAACGACATTTTTGCACCAGGAGGAGTTACCAACTACCGAGCAGTTGACTATGAAGAGTTCATGATTTTCATTGTTCCAGCCCTGATAGCACCACACTATCCTGACTCAATCAGAAAACCTCTTCTGGGTATCGTTAAAGTGGCAGCTTTGGTATTGCAGAAGAATGAATTGCATGCTTCAGACTTACAATTCATAGAAGCGTAAGTATTGGCATCTTGAATAACAAAACCCGTTTTATCCACAGACTAAAAACTTACTTCTTTCTATCTCTGCACAGTAAGGTTAACGATTGGCACAAACTGCTGATCACTGAAATCAAAGCCAAACGCCTTCCTATCAAGACCTTTCGACCAAACGCCCATTATTTAGGACACTTGACTTACATGATCAAAGCGCAAGGTTTACCGGCTTCCACTTCCAGTCGATCTATCGAAAGATCCATCGGCAGGTACAAACGCTTGATAAGTGCTCGCACAAATGTTGGTATAAATGCCGGAAACATCATTGATCGTTTGGCAATTATGCGAGCCATCAAGGCATCTACAACTGGTGATGGTACAGGCGATGGTGAAGACAAACTGAATGATCTGGATGCTCGAATCAATCTCTTAGTGCCTCGACGATACGATCCAACTACCTTCGTAAATCTAAAGAATGACAATGGCAACGGAAGTCAGCTCTGGTATCCAGTCATCCACACAACGGTTTCAAGTATCCCAACCTCCATCAACGTCAACACACCTCTTTTTGTCAAGGCTATACAGTCCTACTACGACCGGCAATACTCAACTAATGTTCTGCAGAATGTCCATATCAATGATCAACTGGATATTGTCGTCTCTGGAAGTGCCTGGGCTTACAACTGCACTTATCGTTCAGAATACTATCGCGATCTCACCGGTGCTAATTCTAGAGGAAGCCACTACATCATGGTATGGGCAGAACACTTGAGGTATGCCAATTCACAGGTTCATTATTGCCTTTATCGTTACTCATCAAAACCCACATTGACGTCTGAATTTCCTACAGTAACTCTCGTCGCAAGGTCAAAGCTTTCTATGTAGGGGCTGTTATTTTCATGTTCAAGCTCGAAATTGAGGGGATTGGCGATGAGTTGTTCTTGCTTATTCGATTAGGAAAGACTCATGCTGTTGACGACAAAGACAAGACGATGCCCATAGTGGAGCTGGATGATGACCAGGATTCATCCGCATATCTGGTGTGCACATTTGAGCAGGTCATTTGCCAAGTTGGTCTGATGCGTTTTAGCGAGAATGACAAGAGATATAAAGTGATAACGAAGGAAAAGGTTTTCCGGGCCTCGATAGAGACTTATAAACCTGGAAAAAACTCATTTGTGCTACCTCAATAATAAAGATAAATATAGATTTTATCATCGTATTATTACCCCCAACAAGTTAACAGACATTCAGCTTCATGATGTCGTTCTCCTCTTCTTCGCTTCTTCCCTTTTAGCTTCTGAAATCAAAGACATCCCATTCATCTCACTACACAACGCTCAGTTCCTTTAGTATGTGCCGAAAAGCACCATTAATTGCGGAGTAGGTGCCCCAACCTTAACTTGAGTAAAACACTAGTGCGAATAGCACTGTTACCAGACAATGGCATCTTAAAATTGTATGAAATTCCTATTTTTCCTTCATTCAATTGCCAATGCTTTTATGTCTCACCCTTGCTATTAAAACCTAAGCGTGTATACAAAACAGATTCCGACAAATGTCTTCTTTTTTGCCGTCTCCCTCACCTTCCATTCTTTATTGAATTCTTCCTTCTGTTTTCCCCTCGTCCTACTATTACTTAAGGCTTTGAACACTGATTTTTTGCAAATATCAACGAAACACAAGGGCCACGATGGTTAAAATTCCGCCCACAACAATCTTTTTGCTCTTGTAAACCGGAAAGGTTCTATTGAGCTGTTTCTCCCGTATCTCTAAGATGATTTTTACCACTTTTAGCATCAAATAGGTGTTTCCTACTGCTTTTAGCGCTGAATACGCTGCTAGCTCCTACTTTGAAGCGGTATTTTAAATACAAAAGACTTTCAAGATCCAACGCAAATATGATTCTGATAAATTTCAGTTTTCCCCTTTCCTTCATGGTTTATACGGTATTCTTCAATGAATGTTTACTTGATCTGTCTTAGTTTTGATAGAATAGTGATAGATCTGCCGTTCAATTGTACACATAGGAAGGTATTACGAAAAAACCGAGAAAAACTTTAGATATTGATATTGTGCTTAATTTCCTGCCTAAACATGCAGAACAAAAAAGCTATATAAGAACTAGACACCTTGATAAACACAAAAAAAAACTATCCTGAACACCGCATGTGCAACAATCAATTTTCAACTGCGAGATAAAGTGTTTAGAGGCCATTCTCTTTAGATTTGTTCCGGAAACGTATATAACAAACTAGATGTATAAGAAGAGGAAACATTGGGCAATCGTATTATTATTCTTGAGCACCCGATGACCCTTTGGGAATTCATAAATTGACATTTACTCGAAAAATATGCCTAATTTGCTTCTTTTTACATATGTTTATAGATAGATTTTGAAACCTTCGTTAGGCTATAACAAACAATACGTGCTGCAATCTTTATTTCAAAGTTTTATATACTCAAAAAAATGTGTTTTTGTGTAATATATTTTGTCCTTACTTCCTCAAATGGTTAAGCATTTGATGTACCTCCATTTTTTGTGATACCACTGATAATTCTTTATTGAAAAAAAATCCAATGCACCTTCAAAACCCCAATTTTGGTGCAAATGATCTAAGTCTTGGTGCTTTTGCTCTAAACTTGGTGTATTTGCACCAAGGTTTTCGCCGTAGTGCCCGTATGGGTCCTCCCTTGAAGTTGCCTGCTCATTTGTTGCTGTCTCCTGCTTTGTGGCGTCTTTTCTGGCCCCTGAAAATGCCTGCAAAGGCTTTCACGCCTTGGTGGCGATTGCTACATGACCGTGTCCCGCACCGCTCGTGGTGTCATAAGATTATGCCTACCAAAGTTCTGTCTCCTGCTTGTGCTCTTTGCGGTTTCTCTTCAGAGGACCTCTACCATTTCGTGGTGGGTTGCCATGTCAAGTCATTTTTCTGGCAGGATGTAGTCTCTTTGTTGTCACTTCAAGAGCTACTCCCCTCTGCTTCTTCTATTTGGTTGGCGCTGACTACGTTTTGTAGTGGTTCAGATTTGTTGGTGATCGATGAGGATGTTCTGATTGCTCTTGGTACTGCTTACAGTACACTTTGGAAGTATCATTGGCGATGCGTCATAGACGAGGAGCCTTGGATAGCTTCTGCTGCTATCAACATGGTCCGTCAAGACCATAGTACACTCTTTTCTTCTCTTTCTTTGGCAAGTGTTCAAGCTGGCACCTTGGCCTTGTCTGAAAATACTGTATAGATTATAAACTTTAAAGCTAATAAAGATACACTATAATACAAAAAAAAATAGCACTCATTCATGCTATTTGGATCTACTAATAAAGCGCTCAAATGTGCATCAACAACCATTTAAACATACTAAAGTAGAGATGCACGCTTATCTCGCACATCGTGTGAAGGAACCACTCCTGATCACAGTGTATCAATCACACCCATGATGGCTGTAGTAAGTGATGTTATCTTTATCCAAATAAAGTCAAGTCAACAACAAGCAAATTGACCCTTATAAACAGTGCTCTTTCATTAATTACCACTTTAAATCAAACATCAACAATATTTGCCAGATATCGCAATAGCAGCACCTACTGCTCTCTATCATCACTAATTTTACAAGCTGGTTCCAAATGTGTAAATACTTTTCTTTTGTTTTTTACCCAATCCCAGGATGGACATTTCATTTTATACACAAATAAAATACAGTTCATTTCTATTGTATTTTACTATTGCTTTATTTTATTTTGTGAAAATATTAAGCCCGATTTCACTGCAGAGACCATGAGACAATCTTTTCTTCTCTTTCTTTGGCAAGTGACTCAATACGCTGCGCCTTGCCTCTCTTTATACATAGTTTTTATACTCTTAAAATCTTAAGGATAGCGAAGACACAAACTTAAATACAAAAAAGCTTATTAAAAATTCGGCTTTTTTGCCAAATGCAGCGTCTGGAGGTTCAACTCAAAAATTAGCAAGTTTCAAATTCTGAGGATATGTTTTTTTATTATTACTGCTGGCTAGGATCTCTTGAGCGGCTATTCTAACGCATGTTTACTACCATGATGGCAAGCGTTCAATTCAGCAGTACATCAATGATACATTCGGCATCCCAAAATTCCCATACACATATCATATAGTCGACGAACACCTCTTACTCATCTATTGTCAGATCTAATGCTTACATTTTTATTACTGGTTCCTATCACTTTTCATTCATTAGCATAAACAACCAGATTCTATACACCACATAGGTAAAGGCACTTTTTAAAGTATTTTGTAAAAGTCTGAAATGTGGTTCGAAGAGGCACGTTTTCAATTTTGAATTTCTAGTGAAGTAATGGAGTCATCTATTGTAGCTTTCTTGGTGAATTGAATGTCAGCCATGAAAACGTCTATCAATGAAATTACAGGGATTGCGTTTGGGCGGCATAAGGATGTAATCATGACCAAGTTGATGGACGGGATTTAGTTGACAGCTTCAAAACTTGAAGTCATCTTCGCAGCTCACCAGCAAAGAAACGTGCACCTTCAATAACATCAACCCGTTGCTAGCAGAAATCTACAAGTCATACAATTTTTGATCCACCTATTTTAACATTCTCTCCCTCAAGGTCAATATTTACATGGTCTGGATACAAAGCGTATCATTGCAAATTTAAGCACAGTATTCAAACCATTCTGCAGATTATTATAAATATCTTGTAACGAGACAAGCTGAAGTAAAATAACTGACTCTGTTTCTTACTTGGTCTTTGTTAACATCAGAATATATTTAATTTAATCTTTTCATCGTATATGTGTGTCTGTGGTTGTAAGTGGGATAAAGATGATTATAGAGATAATTAAATGGATGACATTTATTACTATGCCATTATTTCAACTAGTAATATATAGCCTGTTCAATATATCATCATTCTAGATTTTCCTTGAAGAAAGCATACCAATCAATCACAGTGATCATTCATCTGAGCATTCCATTACATCTATTCAATGAGAAGCAGATTTGCTAAAAATATGCCAAGTTTATGTTCGACTGACATTTTTTAGCCTCAATTCCCAAAAAACTCCTTTGTTTTCGGTGCTCTTCTGCAAACAATAACGTTGGAGTATCTAGAAAAGTATACATTTTTTTTTACACAGTTGAGTGGTACAATATTCTTTTGGCGGGTTAATATGGCTTACTAGGTAGCTAGTTTTTGTGATAATGAAGAAAAAGTAAACCTTTAAGGCTTCCGAATGTCGTTCTGATGTTCTGGCTCATAAATTTATAAATGTCCCAATAAAAACGCTTTAGCTGGGCCCACTTCCTTTTGACGTTTGATTTCTTTATATTCATACCACATGGTACTATGATGAAAACTAAAGTTGACACATAAAAACGCGCATTTTGGATTTTTTAGATTCCGAAAGTATTTATTATAAAGCAAGATATTTTTTTTTGTATTTAAAGTTGTCTTTTATTGAACTGATAAATCGAAACTCTAAGAACTTTATATAAGAACTGTGGCCCGAAGCCAGGACACAAAGAAGGATTTACCACCACCCGCGACGCACGCAGACTTGACACACTAGTAGGTCAGCTCGACCAAGATGCTCCTTACATGCAAATTGTCATGAGATACAGATGAACGAAATTAGGAACTTGATCCACTACATATGAAAAACCGAGGCACTGCGAGATTTGAACCTGTGCTGTAGTAAACGGACTAATCAAAAGAGATATGCTTTACCCAACTTGGGATGAACTGCCGCTCCCGAGCAAGATATGCCAAGTGCCTATTTGGCAGCGGTTTTTTGACCTTGATCACTAGGAGAAAACTTCAGTTTTTTGGGTTTTACTTGACACGGAAGCAATAAACACACCAACCAGTTATACCATAGGGTGCACCTGTTCGGGGTTGCAATAGTCATCTATTATGTTGAGACAATCTACTTGCTACTTTTTGTGACAATAATGAAAACCCAAATTTGCAAAGAACCAAAATGTCATTCTGGAGTTCGACGCCTAACGCATTTGGTTGCCCGACTAAAAGGGGTCCAGCTGGGTCTTGTTGATTTTAGTGCTTGATTTCTCAACTCTTATTATAAAAATGCAAACTGAAAATGATTTTAAATTGCGACATCGAAAGATACCTTGTAGTTTCTGTATTTTGTGAAAAACAACGTATTTTGAGAAAGATAAGCTAATTCCTTGTTTGGCCATGATTATTTAACCCGAACCGACAGGAGGGAATTTCGGTTTTTGACATTTTACTTGACATAGAAATAGCTAAAGCATCGTACAAACTATACCATTCAGTGCGTCTAACTGAGGACTATAATGCTCATATAGTGGGTTGATATGTTTACTTGCTAGTTCTTGCAATAATAGTAAAAAATAAAGCTTTTAAAGCATCTAAATGCCATTTTGAAGTTCTAACCCAGACGATTTTGATTGTCCGACTAAAAGGGATCTAGTTGGGTCCTCTTTCTTTTAAGCCTTGATTTGTCAATATTCCTCATTATATGAAGGTAAAGTGGAAAATGTTATGGGATTGAGGCATTGAAAGGCATCTTTTGGGTCTCATGATTTGAGAAAAAAGTTGTTTTTAAGTAAAATATGCCACGTCTTTGTTTAATCACAATTATTTAAAGATTCTTACTTTTGAGAAGTTGACGCCGTAATAAAAAAAAACTAGATAACATATTGTTTTAAACATTAAAGAACGTGGAATCAATGCTGATTTTGTTCTAAAATCGATATTACAATGGTAACACCCTGGTTAACGAAGCGGACCATCTCTCTGAGATAAATGACGATTATGATCCAAATTCCCCTACATACTACAGGCATGTTATGCAGCCCATGAACAGTCTATGTTCGAACTATAACGCATTGTTGCATATTGAGAAACTTTTAGAAAACAACATTTCAAAGAGTTGTCAAGAAGGAAAGGTTCACTTTGAAGCCCTACAAAATCCCGCCAGTCATTACGGTTTTTACTTACTGATTCAGACCAAGAAAGTCAAAATCTGAGAGATGGTATTAGAGCCTACTATAGCATCTTTGCCTTTACATCGCCTGGTACACAGCAAGATGAAGGTTACAGTGGATTCAACAGCGGCACTTACACATTACGAGTTCAAGGCTCAACATACCACAGAATTGATCCTATCTGTCCTATGCCAGGATATGCCCCATAGTATGCTCAGATATATTTTACGGACCTTCAATACCAAGCTAGCATGCGCAGAGGTACTTTTCGCAGCTTTATGAATCTCTGCTTGAGCGTCTCCAAGAACTGGTGATGAGAGAATGTCCCTTTGCGCAGACTTTTGAGATGGAAAGATAACGTTCCGCTCATAATGAAGACAGTTTTCACATCATGATCAATGGACAGGCAACAACGACATAAGGAAGAACTTATTCTTCCCCTACTATAGATGAAGTGGCGGCCATTGTTATAGGCTCAGTATCCACAGACGATCCAAACTATGTCCCTCATCTAAGGAGAGATGTGGTAACATTTCGTAGAAATGGCACTGTCGAACATATTATGTGAATGCCATAGATCCTATGATTCAGTGCATTATATTTTGATGTTTTCGAGAGGTGAGAACGGATGGCACGTCAATATGCCGCTTAACATTATTACGAATGCCTCCTTCGAAGACGAGGATGAAGATGATGCACTTAATAGCGAAACTGATGGCGATAATGTCGAACAAGACGTTACAAGGCCCATTACCACCGTTAGAACAGCTCTGGTAGGCACTAGCGTAATGCAATTTTATGCTCATCCACTGCAAGTGAGACCCAACACAGGAATACTGCATTATTTCGGCCGGCTATTCCATTAATATGTAGTGGATATGTATATGAAGGTTGGACATCGACGTTTGGAATATATACGAAATAACCAGGAATCGTTGCGAATAGAGCTGTGTTCAGGGTTTATAGATGCATCGGTATCTGATAGCGTCATCTCCACTGAGGAGATTGGGAAGCAAATTATTTTACCCTCATCACATACTGGGTCACGAAGGTTAATGCAGCAGTTATATCAGGATTCAATGGCAACGGTTTCAGCATTGGGTAAAACAAGCTATTTCATAACGTTTACCTGCAATCCAAACTGGCCCGAAATTGTTAATGAATTACGCAACGGTGGTTTGAGCCCAACTGGCAGACCTGACCTGTGTGCACGAGTTCTCTACATGAAGCTCTAGGAGTTGATTTCTGATACTAAGACTGTGGAATACATC